ATGACTCGGGTACTTCTCAGTCTTTCCTTTTAGATCATCTTATATGAACTTAAAGACTCACCAGCTAAAAGAAACTTTGTAAATCAGACTAGACTTCAAAACAGGTCAAAAAGATCACTCCCACACTGGCATGCTCACCAAAATGCTTTTCTTCAACTGTCTTATCAATATGCAAAAGATTTCAATGTTTCTAAATGTGGGGTATATCCCCACTTGCCTCCTAGTACAATAACAAGGGTGCCCATAATTGCTTCATCCCTTAACTGGACTGACATTTGTGATATGTATGTTAAAACAGCGAAAAGGTAAAGAGAAAGAAAAATTAGAAGTTAAAAGGCTCATGGCTATAAATATCTAATATGTTGGGCCAAAAAGGCCCAAAAGGGGGGAATGTGGAAATAAGTTTAACCAGGCCTCTTACTTGACTAAGAAGAAAGAGAAAGAGAAGAGAAAAAGATGCTGATGCTATGTGTTTTAAAATGTTCTAAGATAAGGAAAAACCTTCATGCCTTGTTTTGTCGGTGTGCAGATGTTAATCTCCTCCTTTCCAAGAACCAAAAAAACCCCCAGAAACTGATAACTGTTCCCAAAACACAGTGGGTTTTTTTCTGAATAAGTAAACTGCTTACGTGTGACAAATGAATGATCAATATCTTTCTGTTTCTCTCAAGGTTGCTTTGTCTGAACCAAGCATCTTTTCTCGCTGTCTAAAGTATAAATACACTTGTAAACTTGTAGAGGTCAGAGTTCCTTTGAGAACTCTCCCTGTGATCACTTGTATAGCTTTAAATAAACCTAGATGTCTCTGCCAATTCTAATACAACCACAATGCAAAGTTTGATTTCTTCCACAACCTGCTCCATCCCTTTATTGTCCCTTTCTTTCCTGTTAGTCCCCTATTACTTTTTATGCTATCTCTCTTACCACTTTCCTCACCAGTTTCTAACCATCTAAAAATCTATCTATCATCTAAAAATCTAACCTCAGTCCAACTGGAACTCATGAGAAATGATGTCCATCTGTACTTGTCTTCATGCTTACACTCATCTAAGTTACCTTGTAAATTTGAACAAAATAATTATAGCTGCTTCCCATTTTACTGGTAAAAAAAGTAAATACAGCTTCCCTATTGAAAAAACATAAGTGTCATCTGATTGAACTGTCACTTTGGGCCCTGCCGCATGTTCTAATTAAAGCAGGACAGAAACAAGCCACAGAATTGTTACACATTTTCAAGCACTAACTTTGTTGCTGGTTGGCTCTTTTTATAGCGGGACAGTCATTTTTCATGTTATGATTATTTTGCACATGTTGCTGATCCAAATTTATTGCATGATTAACCAGTTAATTGTGTTATAATTACTTTGCACGTGTGGCCACTCTTACTTGGCATATGTGGCCAGTCTAAATTATTGCATGATTAACCAGGTAGTTGCATAATATACCTAACATGTAGCAGGAGCCTTTGACTCAGCATGCACAGTGGACGTCCCCTAAGAATTCTAAGAGAGCCTAATGAAGCATTAATCCCTTTTCTGAACACAGGAAAAAAATCCTTCTCCTGCTGACATCAATGGCAAAACTCCAATTCACTCAAATATAGATAGGATTTTATGTATAATGCACATTATTTCTGCTTACCCTGATATAAACCAAAATTAAACCTCCTAAAACTCAAACCAAACCAAACCATCACCATACTCAGGCAGACAACAGAGTATCATAAAAATTGTGGGCTTAGTGATTCCACCACTGGATTGTTTATTATACAACATCAATTATAATCAGTGTTTGAAAATAAAATTAATTTCTATCTTTCATTCAGTGAAAGGTGTTCAACAGTCACAGGCTAGGTACAGACATTCAAAAAGCCTGAGGTAAAATTGTTCTAAGTCATACAGTTTTCTTTAAGTGGCATATTTTAGATTAATAGTGAACAAAACAAGAATTCACTGTTTAATGGGGGGTGGGGATCTTAGACCAGGTTCTGCCATTTTTAAAGCAGCTTATGTGCTGAACTTCTATTCTGTTTTGCATATAGACCAGTTTCCAATCACTTATACTGGTAAAAGTCTAATGTCTGTACCTGGCTATAATGTAAGTAGATGTGATACTTTTCTGTTTACCCAGCCTACCAGAAACCTGTCTCATACCTTCTCTAGTGTATCTTTCTAAGACACAAATGTTATAGCCTACTATATACCAGCAGAGTATCATCATGATTCAGGACAGTAATTTCCTTTTTTTCTATTTTTTTCTGAAAACAAAGAGGTTGGGTGAATAATGTGGTGCCTATCTTCAAGAAAGGAAAGAAGGAAGATCCAGGGAACTACAGGCCAATCAGTTTGACCTCAATCCCTGGCAAGATCTTGGAAAAAATTTATCAAATAATTAATTAACAACACGCTGACAGTAGACGCCGTTCTGAGAGACAGACAACACGGCTTCATTTTGAGTAGGTTGTGCCTGACCAACCCCATCTCCTTCTATGATCAGGTGATGCATCACCTGGAGGGCGGTGGGGGGGAGAGGTTGTTGTCATTTACTTGGATTTCAAAAAAGCTTGGTCTCCCATGATGTCTTCATGGCAAAAAGGGGGAACTGTGGCCTTGACAACCCTACGGTCTGATGGCTCAGAAACTGGCTCTGTGGTCAGATCCAGAAAGTGACTGTTGATGAAACCGAGTCAGCATCGTGTATAGTGACCAGTAGCATCCATCGGACTGGTACTCTTTAATATATTCATTAACAATTTGGATTTAGGTGTCAGAAATGAACTGGTTAAGTTTGCGGATGACACCAAACTGTGGGGAAGCGAGGTTACACTGCAGGATAGGCTGGGGATCCAGGCTGACTTGGATAGGCTCACACGGTGTGCAGATACAAACCTGATGACATTCAGCATAGAGAAATACAAGGTGCTCCACCTCAGGAAGAAAAACCCACATCATACCTATAGGCTTGGCAGTGCTTCACTCACTAACACTATATCTGAAAGAGACTTAGGGGTCATGATTGACCACAAATTGAATATGAGCCACCAGTGTGATGCCACAGCTGGCAAAGCAAATAAAACTCTGGCCTGCATCTACCGATGCATCTCAAACAAGACCAAAGATGTCATTCTCCTGCTTTATTCGGCCTTGGTGAGGCCACAGCTGGAGTACTGCATCAAACTCTGGGCTCCACACTTTCAAAAGGATATGGAGAAGCTCGAGACAGTCCAGAGGAGAGTCATGTGCATGATAAGAGGTCAAGAGAGCAGGCCATATGAGGAGACGCTGAGAAGCACGGGACTTTTCAGCTTGATGCCCCACAAAGTGCACGTCACATGCTTTAGGTATTTGTTGTGCACAGAGCAGAGAGAATCAAATAGGGTGCATTTTCATGGCAGTATTACCTAGCATGGTCTAACACATCCTAAACCTCAATAAGGCAAAAATTAAGTTTCCAACATCAACATTAGCCTGATATAATTGCGAACTTTTTAAAGGTGCATTTTAATATATTTATAAGTAGAATGATGATCTCGCAAAGACCCTTCCAGCCCTAATGTCTATGAAATCTATACAAAGCAGGTACCTTACCAAATAAAGGGTATAGCCCATAGTCCACTTAACACTGCTATTTGAATTTGGCAATGCTTTAGTGTTTGTTATTTTAACTACAAAGAAATACAAAACTCGAAAAATCTCAGTTATTTTAACAACAACTTCTATATTATATTAACACAACTTATTTTTCATTTATTCACATTTTTTCATAGATTTTTGTATCACTATTGACATTTTATTAAGTGGAAGAAACTAGAAAGAAAAAACAATGAAAACTACAATGAAGGAACAATTGTGTTCTGCTCGGATTTTGGTCAAAATTCCAGTCCTACAGAAGTAAATCCAGTGCTAATTTCCCATGATTTGGGGGTCCAGAATTTGACTCATTTTATTTACACTCTACATTTACATCTACAATAATACGTAACTTTTAATTAAGGCCTAAATTTAAAAAAATTGAATTTATCCAAAAGAATTTTACACTGTAAATAGAACACATGTAAAAAGCAAGATAGCAGACAAGGTCAATCTTGTAATATACATGTGAACTCTGACACTGCAAACTAAGGCAGCATAAATTCACTTTTATAAATTGCTATTTTACAGGTAATATTTAAGAGTAGCAGCAGAGTCATATTCCAAACACTGGAATCAATTTGATTAAGACAAAAGGTTGCTGCACATTGTAGCATCAATCCTACCTTTCTGTTTCAGCTGCAGAGCTTTTCCTAGTCTGTTTTTGGCTGTTATATCTTTCCACCTTTCTGGACTGCCTGTGAAATGAGATGCCAAAAAGTAAACAAAGAAGAAAAAGAATATAGAGAATATGAAGAATAAAGCTTTAATTATGCATTACATAAATCATGATATGTGTGGCTGATAGATGGAAAACTGACAATTATTTTTCTGAAAGGGTTGGTGAATTAGGGGTTTAAATCAAAGATCAAAGATTTTATTATCATATTGGATTTGTTCACGTCTGGTGGTATAAAAGCACTGGGCTGCCAAATGGAAGACCTCACTCCATACTAGGGCAGAGAAACAGAATTAGTTCAGTCTTTTGGGAAAGGCAGCAGGTTGCATCATTTGGCGACCAGCTCCTAGCTCACAACCTACACAATATCAGATCTTTTTGATGGTCCCTTCACAAAATAGTGCATCAGTGGAACAGGGAAAAGCACTTGCGATGTGTGGGAAGGATTTTTAAAGTGTTTTTAAATCATATTTTCAAGTAAAAAGAATACTTTAATAAGATCTAATATTACAAGAATGTCACCTCATACAAGTGAAAGCTGGGCTTACTGAAAATCTTACTAAGATTGCACAAAAGTTTGAAAAACTTTCTTAGCTAATTAAATAGTACTCTCTTTCAATCAGTTATATAGTTTGATATATTTATTTGTCTCTCTTATTCCATTTCCATTCGGGTCTTTCAAACAACCAAAAGAAATCCAAGACTAAAACTCATTTGACATTTCCCTCCTACCTACTTTCAGTGCTTCACCCAGGTATAAATTAATTAGGTTAACTTCATTTTTCTCTAGTTTATCCTCACAAAAACATAGATCAACAACTTCTAAACCATTAAAGCAAATCTTTTGCCTGGTTAGGCATACCACCAATCCCCTTTTGTAGGCTGTCCTTTTCTTTCTCGTGTCCTTGTGACAAGGTACTTAGCAGAATTTGAAGATTCACTGGTATCACTGGTATCAGATATGGCGGTGCCATGAGTGCTTTTGCTATGACCTTGAACTCTCAAGCTCTGGGTTTTCAGCCACTCACCCCAGTGTCCATGCCACAGGAGCAGGGTTTTGTAGGCTGTGAAATAACATTTTTAATAACTGCTAGATTGGCTTGGGTAGCGTGTCCTTTGGGTTTTTATTTTTGTTTGTCTGTTAGTTGGTTGATTTCCCCCTGCTTTCCATTAGGACCACAGGAAATCTGTAGGTAAGGTAGATTGTGATTCACAAGCCAGCAGGTTCCCAAGTACAGATACAGATCAGGGGTTTAGTTCCTTGATAAACCAAAATTCAAAAAAAAATATATAGGAAGGTATCCTCTAAAGAAGATGGGGTAGAGCTGGGTATTCTAATGTCTACTGCAGAGAATTTTTTCCTTCACATCTTTAGCCCCGATAAGAGGAAAGGAACGTTAGGTCCAAAGAATAGTGCTGAGTTCTGGAAGTGATTGCTAGCTGATGTACGCTCAAGGGATTATTGATCTGTAGTTTGTTCCATTAGTGTTACATTAATAAAGTTGCAGCTTTGGTAAACCTCGTTCCTAACATTTCTTCCTCCTAAAATGTTTTCACTGGAAACCTGCATAACTGCAAATAACTGATTTTGCAGGAAAACTGTCTAAATTACTAGACTACAACTGCTACAAAGTGTGTAAAATAAAAATAATACTATAGGGAGGAATATGGGACGTCATTGGGTAGAACCACCAGTGTAGCAAGGAAAAAAAATTAGATTATGATGTTTGTAGTAATACCTTTTCTCCCCAAAACAACATACTATAGCAGGTCACCAAAAAAAAAATTGTTTAAATCATCTTCGTTGTTATGAGTATGCAATATACAGGATTCCCTTGATATATGCAGTAGATGCGTTCTATGAGAATGGCGCATAAATCAAATTCGCATAAAGTAAACCCACTTTACAATGCAACTAATAGGGATAGGTTCCCATGGTGGTGAGGGAGGGAGGGAGGCTGAGACTAGGGAAAGGGTGGGGGGAGGGGTGTCATTTCCAGGGCTGTACAAGGCAGAAAAGCAGGGGGAACAGAGCAGCACTTACCCCAGTCCCAGCTGCAGCAGTCCTAGTAGCAGCCAGCGCCAGCTGCCTGCAGCTGCTGGGCTGTACCATGCTCCGCCTGTCCCCTTGCGCCTGGGTTCTGCTTGTCTACACTCATCTCTGCTCCTGGGCTGCACTGTGCCCTGGTGCAGGCAGCTGGTGTTGCTGCTCCTGTGGCCGCTCCAGCATGGGCTGGGGTGAGTGAGGACAAGGAGAGCCTCAGGTGGCGTGAAGTAAGGCACTAACCCCAGCCTCAGCTGCAGCAGCCCTGGGAGCAGCCAACACCAGCTGTCTGTAGCAGCTGGGCTGCCCCGAACCCCTGGAGCTCTGCCTGTTCCCACTCACCCCAGCTCCTGCTGCAGCAGCCCCAGGAGCGGCCAATGCCAGCTGCCTGAAGCTTTTGGGGAGCACTGTGCCCTGGTGCAGGCAGCTGGTGTCAGCTGCTCCTAGGGCCGCTCCAGCATGGGCTGGGGTGAGTACAGACAAGCAGAGCCCTGGGCAGCACCGGGCCTAGCACTCACCCTAGCCCCAGCTGCAACAGCCCTTGCAGGGTTCAGGGCATGGTGCAGGCTAGCTGCTATAGACAGCTGGTGTCAGCTACTCCCAGGGCTGCTGCAGCCGGGGCTAGGGTGAGTGCTACACCACACGCCACCCAGGGCTCTGCTTGTCCGCATTCACCCCAGCCCATGCTGGAGTGGCCCCAGGAGCAGCTGACACCAGCTGCCTGCACCAAGGCTTGGCACAACCCAGGAGCAGAAGTGAGTGTGGACAAGCGGAGCCCAGGCATGGGGGGAACAGGCGGAGCACAGTGCAGCCCAGTGGCTGCAGGCAGCTGGTGCTGGCCGCTCCCAGAGCTGCTGCAGCCACGGCTGGGATGAGTGGGCCTATGGCCCTTTCCCCTCCCCCAACATCTGTTTGGGCGAGGGTGCGCCTATGCTGATCGCATAACAGTGAATTTACCTCACATATAACAAATTATGGGTCTAAATATGCTCATTGCATAAGAGCAAATTCACATATAAAGAACCCGCATAAATTGAGGGAAACCTGTATATGGAAAATTCACCCTTAAAGGCACAGAGACACTGACTTCCTTTTCACAGATGCCACTGTAAATCAGGAGTATCTTCTCTGAAATAACTAGGTCTTCTATGTACTGGTTCTCTCAATGAAAACTATAGTTATCATAAAAAGGGTGACATCACAAGGCAGGAAACTGACCTAAGCTCCAGATAAAAGGACAGGGCCCTGCAGCTGATGACCAAAAACAAATGATGCAGGAAAGTCAATATTTCTTTGCCTATATGCCTCTACCTCATGTCCAGAAAACACACTGAGTCAAAAGGATGGTGCTTAATAAAATATGGTGCACTATATATAAATACTATGTTAATATGAAAAAAACTGTTATATTGTGTACTTAGATATAAAGAGTGTGACAAGACATACTAAATAACACAATTAGAATATAACACATTATTAAGAAAGTAAATTATTTATAGTTCAGAAAACTAGAACCATTTACTTGGAACCAAAATTTGACTTAATAATGATACCTCTGTGTTGCTCCAGGTTTAGCACTTAGATGGTTTATACTGTCTTGTTTTGGAATGCAAGACTCCAGCATCCTTGTTCTTCACAATATTTGGAAACATGGAAGTGAATTTGGACAGAATGGACAGAAACAGAGAGATGGTCACATGCAGTGAAGATGGAGACATGCAGTCAAGATACATAAACCAACAACATTCAGCACTAATCATTGACAGTATTTCTGGAGTCCCTTTTGGCTGATTTACTTTATACATGAAAAGGGAATTTTTGAAAACGATTGACAACATGGTAAGAATAAAAGGTATGAATAAAGTAAAGCATCAAGGCTGTTAAAGGCAAAACATATATTGAGCACAATTGAACTGCAGCACTGTAGTGCTAAAACTGCCATTTACTCTTATTGAGAATAAATCTACAAGTTTGCTCATTAGAAAAATACATATAGCTTACTCATGAAGCTTGATTAAAAAAATCAAGATGTGAAATAATATTTTGGCATAAATATTGTTAACATTGCACATTTAATGAAACACCTTCCATATGTTTACAGTTGATGAAACTATCAGAAATAATTGTAGTATACTTGGCAATTGTTTTATTTCAATGATAAGTATATAACTGTTCAGTACCAGCAAACTGACCCAAGCATCCTTTTTAAAAAATATTTTGTAATCCAAATAATAATCAACATATGGCTCTGGTGACTCCCATATTATTTTAATTTTATGCTTAGATGATTTTAATAACCTTAACTTTTTTTAGATCGCACAATTGAAATTAATTATTTTTTGACTGAGAGTTGCCAAATACAGATCACTGTACAAAGGATAACTTATTTTGAGATTGGCTATGTGAGTCTAGGTTTTAATGTAATAAACCAGTTATATAGAATCCCCCCAAAAATCCATAATGCTCCATTGTATAAAGTAAGATTATAATTTTAAATAAGACATTTTAGAATGTTCTTCATAGAAACCCAAATTGTGACTGCTAAATATCTGACTGAAAAAATCTTTACTACTTGTCAGAACATAATTAAAAGTTCTATATAGAAGTATAGTTTTAACACTGAGGCAAGGCACTGTTGGTGCCTGCCACTTCAAGCGCCAGAGCAGGCATCAGTCGGGTGCTTGATTGGGGCAACCATTTTGAGACCAGGCTATAAATAGGGGAAGCAGCAGTTTGCTGTTGGCAGCCACGAGAGTGACATCAGCTGGCTGAGCTGAGGCTCAGGAACATCGTTTTGGAGGTCTATGGGCTGGGGCTATGGGGATGGAGGAAGCTCCAGGTCCTGGGCATGACCTAAAACTGCACCTTGCCAGGGAAGGGAGGCTTGGTGGGACTGCCGGTGGTGAGGCAGCCCCATGAAATGCCAGGCCAGTTACCTCTCTGGTGAAAGGCGGGTCAGGGGCGCCTAATAACCTCCAGGCCCCGCACAATCCTAGCTGGGGAATGCCCAGACCTGTCAGAGCTTGGAGAGACCTGCAGCTCAGTTGTTCCCCTGAAGTTGTGAGGGTAAAAGTGGGCATGCAGCTTAGACCCGACCCGAGGGACCTCGACTGGCCCATGCTGGGGCCAGGACCCAGAGCGGGGTCGAAGGGCCAGGGCCCCACTGTGAGGGTGCCCAGAGAGCAAGAGGCTCAGGATCCTGACTGAACTGAGATGGGGCCAGGGCCTAAAGGGGAGCCAAAGGTCCCAGAGAGGGGACCACAGCTAATGGATGAAGGGTACGGCTGAGATTAGCTGCCTGGGATGCCATTTGCAAGGCTTGGGTCGCAGTGTGGGGATGGAACAGAGCTGCGGATGTTCCCCTTAACATCAGGGTTCAAAATGGGAAGCCTCCTGCCTGCGTAAGACTGTAATAATTTATCCTCATGGCATGGCAGGAGAGAGAGGCGGGCAGTTAGCCCAGAGACAGGTGGGCAGGCGAGCATCAAACCGGTCATGGGAAGGCCCCCTGTTACAAACACTAAAAGCCCTGCGAAATAATTATCATTCTTGTGCTTTTTCTTCTCCATTATTTGCAACACCCTTCCATAAAGACAATAATTTTACTGATACTGGATATGACCCTACAGAAACTTTCATCATTAATTTCACTCATGCGAGGTTGTTCCATTAAATACGATGCATGAATGTAACAGTAGAACTATTGGAGCTCTTCATAAAACTGAAGACATTCTGGCTTCACTCAGGATACAAGGGTGCTAGATGGGAGTGGCATTGTAGTCTACCGCAAGAGGTCTCTGCAAGGAAACTTCCGGAACAGAATCTTTTTGTTATTTGAGTTACTTGTATAGCCAAAGGCCAGAAAGGAGCTCATTGGAAATTCTATTTAGAGCGAATAAGAGTTCCACCTGCTTACAGGGAATTCTATGGACTTCAGGTGATTTACGTGGACAAGCAAAGTAATTTATATATGTGCATTTTCAGAGTCAGTCTATTTGTCATTATCCATTTAGCAAACACTGAATTGCTGTTATAAAGCTATATTATCAATCATGATGAGAACACAGCTGGAAGAAAAATAAAGCATCCTACAGATCTGAATGCGAACACATTCTCCCACTCAAGTCAACAGGAGTTATGCTGGGTAGAATGTACTTCAAGATGAATCAAGCCCACTGGTTGTTAATCAACTGACAGAGTAGACTGTAGGTAAACACAAAGTCTTTGAACTGTGAAATGGATACTTTTTTTTTAAGAATGTTCATCAGTAGAGTGGTAGATATTTAAAAAAATAGCTAGGTTTTAGACTGTTGTTGCTATTTAATTGCTTGTCCTAGCAAGGATGCCTTAAAAAAAGCCCAAAATTTCTCTAACCCCCACCCCGTCATTCATTGTTTGCTTCCTACAGCTAGATTATCCAATGCTTTCAGAAGATAACACCAGATAAGGGAGAACAGCTTTGTGCCAAATTGCTAATTATTTTTTTCTTTTCACATAGGGACATCAGACTTCATAACAGGATTCCTCCTAAATTCAGTCTTTTCCACACAACTTTATCATTCAGTTCCACCAGTATAAGAACTTTGATGATGTGGGTGAAGCACCAGTCATCAGTGACTTAGGGCTTCTATGCATGTGCAGGGAGGCTGCTCTGACACACTGTAATTAGTATGGAGCGTGGTAATTACCGTGCTCCAACAGACTCCAGCATCACGTGTATCAGTGTCCCTGTTGTGAAAAATGACAGTGGGGCACTTTAAACTAAAGCTCACCATTTATCAGCATAGGGACACTGATAAGCCTGATGCTCCAGGTGCTTTAATTAGCACAGTTATCAGAGCTGCGCTAATTAAAGTGTCCCACCCCACCCTCCACTGCCTCCCAATGCCCATCTATAAATGCCCTTATTTAATATGTCTAAAAACTGAGAGTTCAGTTAAAAACCTTTCAAAAGTTGCCAGGGAGGTGGTATATGGGGATTTGTAGGTGAAACTACACAAGCCTACTACATTCATGGTCACCTAAGCCCCTGGTCTCACTAGATCCTTTACTACAGAGAATGCCTTGAAAGATAAGAAGTCCATAAGTCAGTACTCAAAGTCCACTTCCTTCTTAAGTGTCCATATTGATTGAAGGGTGGGATGGTCAAGATTTCCCCCAATGGTATGGTGAGTTAAGTATTCTAAAGATGAGCCTCCATAACAGGAGGAACATAAATCTAATAGAGTCATTCTAGGCATTTGCCTAATGAAAAATTTGTATTTCTTCTAGATATTCTCAACAGCCTTGATTTCAACGTAATAAATTTGCAATAGCTGGATTACTACTGGTGCCATAGTGGCATATTCCATCCATACATATTGAGCATACATACTTTATCTGACCTCCTAATTCTTGCACAAGTGAAGGTAAATTTCTATCTTGTCCTATCTTACCTTACTGGAACTGGATGACTTCATAAGATTCCAAGATAGAATGTCAAGGCTAAAAAAATATCCCTTCTCCTCCTATAGCACTTAACCTGTATTTTCCACCTCTCAGTTTAGATAAAAGGATTTTTACAAATCTGATTTTAAAAATAAGTTTAATTTCTAATGTTCCAGGAGAAACTTATGAATATGGGGGTGGGGGTTCTGTACATCTTGCTGATGAAAGCTCTATTTTATAAAAACTAGTGTTATATGTAACATGTTTCAGTATGTATGTGTCTCTTTCTGATTTGGGCTGATTGAATAAAGCACTTGTTTTATATAAATACAACTGGATTTTGTAAAGGTCTTTATGCCCCAAACCTCATAAGATCTTACAATGTAACTGAAACCTCTGTGAAAAATGGGTTTCTATTTGTCCCAAAGGTGATGTTCATAAGGTCTTTTACAATTTGAACCATTTTGGACTTTTTCTTTTTGCCTCTTCATACTGTATAAGGGAGGTTTGAAGGTTTTAAAATGTTTTTAAAAAACCAAACTTATTACACTGATCTAAAACATCAAGTTTCCCGTTTTTGCTGGAAGAACTCTGTGAGACCTCAGTGAGGCTTGTTGAGAGCTTTGCCAGCTTAATTGTAGTACAAGGGTCCTGAATATTAAGAAAAGCTTCCATTATCCACAATGTTAATAAAACCCTAGAGTTTCCCAATAAAAGGAAAGAAATGAAAAAAAAAGGCCCTTTCCTCGTCAGCTGCTTGATTTTCATACCCTTTGCTTTTCTCAGCACTTTTGATCTCACCATGCACTGAGCTCTCCAGTTATCACAAACTCTTCCAGCCATCTAGACAGGTTCTATACATGACCAGATTTTCTAATATGAAATCAAAAAATGCTTTCAGTTCTTCTATCCGATATATCATAAAGAAACAAATAATGGATTACACAACCAAACATTTTTTAACCTCTAAAAATTCCAAGGAATTGTGATCTATTTTCTCATCTTCTCTAAATATACTATGAGGTGATTTTTCTGTCATGGCTTGTCAATCATTTTCAGGACAACAAAATCATTTCTGAAGGCTCCCTTCAACAGCTCATTTTGTTCAAAATAATTATTAATACATATGATGTTGCAAATATTGCATTTAAATGATCAAACTAAGACATTCCACATCTGTAAGCCATATGTTTAAGAAATCAGT